CCTCGCTTTACCGATAGGACACAGAAGTGGAGAGGGGTCTATGGCTCTTCTCAGAGCAGCTGGAGAAGGAAGAAGGCAATGTCCTGGTTCCAGCCTCCACAGGTGGTGCCTGGCTGTTACCATCAGCAATGTAGCGAACCCCACAATGGGCAATTAGGTACAAGAGAGAACGTGTTGATAATGGCCCTGCAGTCTTTGCGACACACCAGTTGCCCTCTGGTTATCCAGGGAAAAACCCCTCACTGGGGAGTGTCGGCACATGAACAGAGAACAGAACCAAAATTAAAGTCCTAACCTGTTTCCTCATTTCTCACCAGGGTCTCTTGCCTATTAGGTTGGTTGCTCAGGGCTGGGTTGTGGGTGGAGTAGGCATTACGCCTTTTGGGGAACTGTCGTTTTAAAAATAATCCAAACCTTCCTCTTACTACAGCCCACCTTTGTCATAATCAAATGTTGTAACTTTCCACAAATCCTCCTCTCATGCCTTAAAATGTTCTATTTCCTTCAATAAGTTCACATCAAAACCAAACCAAACCAAACTCACTGCCATAGAGTCAGTTCTCACTCATAGCGACCCCCATTGGATTTCTGAGGCTTTAGATCTTTATGGAAGAAGATTTGCCCCATCTTCCTGGCATGGAGCAGCTGATGGGTTTGAACTCACATTAGCCAGGAAAATACACATAGAAGTCGAATCTGGCAAATCTGTGTGACCAAACTCGCCCCCTTTTCCAAAGCTCCCTACATTGCTTTGGTCAATTTTCTTGGAAGGCCCTTTGAGATTTGTTTCCACAAACCTCTAGGCTGTTTCTCCTAAAGCTGTCTCAGACAGTCCCATACAGAATTCCCACTAACAACAACTCTACAACACAACAGATCTTCTGCACACAATTCAGGGATTCAACTGCATTGAGAGTGGTCCCGGCACCGCTCCAACCTCTCCGATAGAGCATACACGGGTGGCTGTGTACCCACTCGTCTCAATAAAGTGATCCAAGTTACCACATGTTGCAGGTTGGCAATCGTACATTTTACATGCATATTGGCTTATTTAACCTTCCTGGGCATCCAAAAGGTAGATCCTGCCTCACCCGCATTTCACACATAAGGAAAAGGAGCACTGGAAAGGTAAAGCAAAAGTTGGAGGTATCAGGCTCAGTGACTTAAACCTAATTATCATAAGAACTTGAATTTTGGAGCCAGATGGGACAGCCTGCACCTAAGCTCAAAAAAAAAAAAAAAAAAAACACCCAAATTCACTAACATTGAGTGGCTCACAGCGGTAAATCTTTACAAAAGCAGATTGCCCCATCTTCTTTCCACAGAGTGACTGTGATTGTAGGTCTGAACAGCCACCCTTCTGGTCAGCAGTCAAATGCCTTAAGCACTGCACCACCAGGGCTCCTTAAACCATACCTACCAAAAAAACCCCAGACTCACTGCCATCGAGTCAATTTGGACTCATAGCAAACCCCACTGGGTTTCCGAGGCTGTAAATCTTTCCTCTGGTAGCATAGTGGCTAAGACACTTGCCTGCTAACCAGACGGCTGGCGGTTCAAACCCACCAGCCACTCCTCAGAAGGAAGGTTGAGCAATCCTACTTCCGTAGTGATACTGCCTCGGAAACCCAAGGAGGGGTCGCTATGAGTCGGGGCCGACTCGACGGCACATAACAACAACAACAACAACAAATCTTTCCTCAGAGCAGCTGGTGGGTTTGAACTGACATTCTGATCAGCAGCCAAATGCCTCCTGCACTACCACCACAGCTCCTCAGCCTGCACCTAAGGCCACCCAAAGTCCCTTTGACTTCTTGCTTTCCAGCCTGTTCGACTCCCGGCACCAGCTCGACGACTAGCTGGGTATTGGGGTCATGCATCTATCTACCTCAGGCTCTGCCCCCGCCCCACCTGCTAGAAGGCCCTGAGCCCCGGAGGGATATGGAATAAAAGCCAAGTCCCTGCCCTCTGCAGTTTAAGGAGGGTAGTCTCCTATTGTTTGGGTTTAAAGCAGGTGATCTGTGGTCTAAAGATGTACGGAGTTCTGAGGGCTGTTTAGAAGCTGCTTCCTGTAACGCTTTCCTATTTTACAATTTACAAGTGTTCTGAGCAACCCCAGAGAGGATCTGTGTTTTAAGACAGGAGGGGGTTCTCCTCACGAACTGTAAATGGCGCCTTGCGTAAAGGAATTTTTTTGTTTTTGTTTTCGGGTTTTTTTTTTTTTTTTTAAGGAAAAGAAAGGGGAGGGCCTAGAGAGAAATAGGTTTCCAGAGTTGTCTGGAGGTTAGCTAGTTCAACCTCTTAATTTTATGGATGAAGAAACAGGCTCCAGTGAAGATGGGCTTTCCCAAGGTCAAGGCTAGTAAGTGGGCGGGCAGAGGCGTGACCCGGCCCTGGCTCAAGGCAGGCCTTTCTCCCCACCCCAGGCCTCAAGAATGCGCCTCCACGCTACTGTTTATCTGGCCGCCACGCCCGTCCTAAAACCCTGGAGCCGAGGGCAACCTGACACGGCTGCCAGCGGCGGCAGGGCCAGTCCCGCGGGCTGGGTCAGGTCACCGTCCCGGCTCTGCCCTCAGCCAACCTCTGGGTCGCGTGGGAGGAGAGGCACGGGCTAGGCTTAGCGTCGGTGTCCCAGGACCCTGGGCAGAGTCCCGGGAACGAGAAAGCCCGCCCCTCCTCTCCCTAACCCTCCTCGCCGCAGCCCCGCACGTGCTGAGCCTCGTGCATCGACCGGGTCCCGCCCCCGCCCCCCATTGGCTGCTCCCGCGCCCCTCCCTTTCCCCCGCCCCACGCAGCCAACCTCGGCTGCGGTTCCACGTGACCCGCGGGGGCCTGGCCACGCAGCCCGAGCGCGCTCTGTGATTGGTTCCCCTTTCCGCTCCCAGCCCCGCCTCCTTCTAGGGGCGCGTCTGAAGGTTGCGAGATTGGTTTAAGGAAAGGAAACAGGTTAAAGTTGTCTTAGAGAATGGTAGGGGCTATGAAGAGGGAGGCGAAGGTGAAACCACTGGTAGAGGGGAAGCGACTGCAGCTGAAGAAGGCCTATGACAACTACCCCACAGGCGCCAATCAGGTGACACAGTGCGAACGGGGCGGGGCCTCCGGCGTCGCTCCTCACCTGGCCCCGCACGTGTCTCGCGTATCCCGGCTGCCTAACCAATCACGGCCTGGGAAGTTGCGCCTGCCCTTCAGCCAGGGAAGGCCAATTGAGAGCCGCGATCCCCGGACTCTAGCCTCGCCTCATGAATAATTAATGAGCCAGAGCTAGTCTGCAGGAGGGGTAGGGATGGAGGGAGGCGGGAGTGGCGTCGGACGCCTGCGCAGTAGCCGCCCGAGTCGGCAGCTGCGGCGGGTCGCACGGCTCCGGCCCATCTCGGGGGGCGGGTGGGGGAGGCACGGCGCGCGAGCAGAGCGCGGGGCACGATGTCCGACGCGGGCGGCGGAAAGAAGCCGCCTGTAGAGTCGCAGGCGGGGCCAGGCTTGGGGCCGGGGCGCGCAGCTGGGGAAAAGGGCCTGCCGAGCTCCTTCCCGTTGGTCCTGAAGAAGCTGATGGAGAACCCCCCGCGCGAG